CAAAGTCAGCGCTGCGGGCCTTGAGGAGAGGAGTTCGGGGCAGTGGCGCCCCGGCTTCAGATCGCAAGGCGAGGCGGTCTGGACCTAGCACGGCACCCGGTGCCGGGCGCGTCCCTGCGACAAACAAGAGCGGTACAAACGCCGCACGCTTAAATGCTTTCTGCGGAGACAGCGCCTTCCACTCTCACCGCATTCTCTTGGGGAACAGGGCCAGGGAATCCGCGGACTGTGCTGGTTCCCACAAGCAGACCGCGACCGGGCCGGTTCCAGACCGAGGCTGCGATTCCCGGGCCCGCGCTCCGGCCTCGCTCCACACCCACTCGGTCTCCCCGCGAGGACAACGTCCGTGTGGCTTCCATCCGACCTCGGCGTGGGAAGCAGCCCTCCCCTCGCTAATAGGTGATCGAAAGCTAGTTGGTGGATGGACGGATGGATGATAGATGCTTACATGAGACTGATTTTCTACGAGCCAGTGAGAACTGGTGGGTAGACCAGATAGCCAGAGAGCTGCCCTTTTACTGCTTTTTGCTTGGATAGAAACAACATGTGCACTGGTGACACAGCTATACGGCGACACAGACAAAACCAGGGCACCTTCCTGTCACAATAGGATCTGAATTCCCCTCCTTTTAAATTACACTTCCACAGCACTAGTACACTCTCTTGTGCTCTTTTTTTATCCAGGTCAGCTTGAGAAGGCTGCGCGGTGGGGACACTCGCTCACCTGTGGGTCTCCCAAGGCTGGGGTCTCGGTGCTCAGTGCTGGGGCTCACAGCGTGAGGGAGGCCCCCATCTTGGGCCCTGGGGGTCGGCTCCTGCGCCTGGGTCCCGCTGGGCACCGGGGGCCTCCACACGGCTCTGTCACAGTGGAAGATGGGACAAGGTGCATCCAAAGCCACAGCCACCGCGTGCAGAACAAGGCCCGAGGAAAACGACACACAGCTCAGGACCTGGGAGGCAAGGTGGCCGCGGCTCCGCGGATGTTGTGTAAGCAGCTTACAGAAAATAAATGAAGCGAAATAAACCAGGTCAGAAGCAGGTTCACCAGTGCCTGCGGGCCACAGGTTTGCAAGGAAGCACTTGACTGAGGAGACAATTTATGATCCGCGGTAATGCATCTTTTTTGTCTCACTATGTAAGAAGCGAGTGAGGAAGAGAGGGAAAACGAACGAACTGTGTTGTGAATGGGGGAGGGATTCCGTGACTGATGACACCACCGAGGGGAAATAACCACGCTTGAGCGGATCCAAGCCTTTTTTGTAGATTAAACTTCCTTGCCTAAAAATAAATGTGGAAGGGAAAGGGGATCCAAATGCCCTTTTGCCAGACAGCCACTGTCTGGTTCTAGCCCGCCGGATTTCTGGGCCTTTGTGTGTGGCTTCACCCTCTCCACCAGGCCTCGGGGCCTGAGGAAGCTGAGGGAGAGGCCCTTGTGTGCAGTGGCCGCCAGAGCACCCCGGTGGCCTGTCCAGCACACAGTGGTGATGAGCTGTGTCTCTGTATCTGACTTCCATGGATACGTGTGCCTTAAATATTTGCTATGCCTAATTTGAATTGCTTTGGGTCTGCTGAAATAATTCAAACCTAAGTTTTCTCTCACTGTGGACAGTGCCACTCCCCCACCACTTCCTCTTCAGCAGGAAGTCAGTACCTGGGAGTGGATATCCACTTTCTTACAGGGAACAGTGTAGCTCGACAAGTATAAAAATGCAAGCAAAACTCAATAATACAAACTCACCTGCCAAGCCGGGCGCACCAGGTCAGCTCATTGATGGTGCCGTTCATGAACCAGGGAGCCGAGCAGCTGCAGTCACACTGGGACCAACTGCTCTGCTCTCGTGTTGGTCGGAGCAAAAATAGCTTTTGACAAGACAGTGGAGGTCAAACACCAGACTCAGTATAGAACTGTCTCCTCTCGGTTATTTCCCACCATTAAACACCCTGCAGACAAGTCGGTGAAAAATATACTGTCTTTCATGAAAATTGATTCTTGCAAGCCACACACATTCTGAAGAGCAAGACAAAATGTTGTAGAATATCAACAATAAATTTCCTTCAGAAAGCTCGAGTTCCTCTCCTCCCACTTTTATGGGAAATACATTTATTGATCATGGCCTGCATTTTTGTTGAAGCCACTTGGCAAATAAGGTGCCCTGCAGATCATCCTCTGAGAGAAGACAGTGCTATTGCCTCCTGAGACAGAGCTGCAAGCCCCAGAACCCAAGGCCACCGAGTTCTCCCCAACCTGACCAGCTGACCATTTCCCAGGCTGGGATAAAAAGAGAGAGAGAGAGAGAGAAGGAAGAAGCTGGAAGGAGACTGCCAAGTCCTAACCCTGGGTAGAAGGAGCAGGCACTGTCCCTTGAGACTCGGGGACTGGCCCTACGATGCCGGGTCCCCAAGTCTGTGGACGTTCAGTATTTGCACACAGCCCACATATATCCTCCCATGTACCCCAGTCATGTTTACGTTTCCTGTAATACCCAGTGCAATATACATGCTATGCAAACTGTTGCTCTGCTGTACGTTTAGGGACTAATGACAAGAAAAATGTCCACGTGTTCAGTACGGATGAGATTTCCCTAGGCATTTTCTTTATTTTGTCATGTGGAAAGTCATTCTTTTTTTTTTTCAGCTTTGAGTTTATTGGTACATTTTTAGGGATACAGTAGTTACATTCATTGTTGGGATCTTGTATCTCTACGTGACAGGTCTTGGTTCTCATTTTTTCTCCTTGTCCCTGCCCTCCCTGCACCCCCTCCTCCCCTCCCCATCTACAAACACTTTATTTCCATCTTTTCATTATCTCACATTTTTTTTCTTTTCCCTTATTACCCTTCCCCTATCCAACCCACCTTCCCTACACCTTTAGCCCCTTTCTTCCCATTTCACAATGTCAGTAATCTTATTAGGATCTTATATATTATTGCAGTTTATTCACACCAGAGAAACTATTCAGTATTTACACATGTGTGACTTATTTATTTCACTTAGGAGTGTATCTTCAATATGAATCCATTTTCCTATGAATGAATCTATTTTCTCATTCTTTATGGCTGAGTAATATTCCATTTTATAGAAAAACCACATCTTCTTTATCCAGTTTCCAACGGATGGGCAAATGGGCTGTTTCCAAGTTTTAGCTATTACAAACTGTGCCGCTATAGACATGGGTACACATACATCACTGTGATATGATTCTTTTAGATCTTTTGGGAAGATACCCAGCAGAGGGATGGCTGGGTCAAATGGAACCTCTAGTCCAAGCTCTTTGAGGTATCTCCATACTGATTTCCATAGTGGTTGCACCAGTCTGCACTCCCACCAACAATGGAGAAGGGTTCCTTTCTCCCCACAACCCCGCCAACATTTGTTATTGTGTGATTTCTTGATGGCAGCCATTCTTTGTGGGGTGAGGTGGAATCTCAGTGTTGTTTTCATCTGCATCTCTCCAATGACCAGTGATGTGGAGCATTTTTTCATATATTTACTTGCTGCTTTTACTTCTTTGTCTGAGAAATGTCTGTTCATTTCGGATGCCCATTTTTGAATCGGGTCTTTATATTTGGGGGGGGCTGATTGTTTTGATTTCTTTATATATTCTAGATAATAGTCCTTTGTCTGAGGAGCAGCTGGTAAATTTTTTTTTCCCACATTGTAGGTTGTCTCTTAATTCTGCTGATGGTTTCTTTTGCAGTACAGAAGCTTTTTAATAAGATGAGATCCCAGTTGTTGATTCTTTCTGCCAGTTCCCGTGCTACTGAGGATTTGTTCATAAAGTCTTTTCCTATGCCAATGTCTTCCAGAGTTCTGCGTAACTTACCTTCCAGCAAGTTTAGTGTTTGTTTTCATATTTAGATCTTTAATCCACTTGGATTTTAATTTAGTGCATGGTGAAAGATAAGGGTCCAGTTTTAATCTGTGGCAGGTTGAAATCCAATTTTTCCAACACCATTTATTAAAGAGGCTATCTTTCCTCCACTGAGGATGGTCAGCTCCTTTGTCAAAGGTGAGATAGCTGAGTAGATCTGGATTGTTTTTGTTTTTGTGTCTTCCAATCTGTTCCACCGATTCTCAGGCCTGTTTCTTTGCCAGTACCGTGCTGTTTTTATCACAGTGGCTGGAAAGCCATTCTTTTTAAAGAATATATAATCAAGAAATTTTAAAAACAATCTAACTATGCAACAACAGAAGATTTGAATTATGGATCTTCTATGAACAGCATTAAAAGTAATCTTCCGAAGTGTCTTTAAGGCTTAGGAATTGCTTATGTTACAACACTCAGCAGAAAAACACTGTCTAAAACTATGATCTTAGTAATGCTAAAACGCATACATTACTGGTGGTTATTCTGAGTGGTGGAATTTGAAGTGGTTTTCATTTTCTTATTCATAATTCTTAAATTTCTATCATTACATTTGTAGTACCTCATGACTGTACACATTCCAGCCTAGGGCTGGCTAAACCCAAGGAGCAGAACTGCAGACATCAGGCTGACTGAGGGGTCTGCACCCTTCTGGGCTCACAGAGAAATTCCTGAGCACCCTTGTGTAACTTACACCATTCAAACTGTCTTTAAGAATTTCTGAAAAGTTGCTGAACTTTAACTTATGAACAGTCTTTGCACAGAAATATATAGAAATCCACATGTTTAAGAAAATCCTCAGTTACAGGTGAAGTCATAGAAATGTTGGAGAAAAGATGACTTGAAGAATCACATATTCCAGATGCTTCAACAGCTGCACATCCGCCCCTGCTGTGGTTGAATTTATGGGCATCGGCCAATGCTGGGTTTATTTCAGAGAGAGAGGGAAGGAGAGGGAAGGAGAGGGAGGGGCTGAGACCCTGTGGCCTCCCTGCCTCTCCAAAGTCGGCTGCCTGTGACATTCTCCGAGGACGGCACACATCACGCCTGGTGTGAAGCTCCACCCTTCTTTCACTTGCGATGCTCGCAGAGCCAGAGAGCTACGCTGCCACCCGGAGAGCAGCTGCACAGAAAGCTTCCTGGGCCCATGACAGACTGCAGATCCAGACAGTATCTGCGTGTATGGAAGGAAATATACACACGAAATCCCAAGTCCATTCATGTATCCTGCAATCTCTTCTGCGTATCTCACAGATGGTGCGCAGTGCTCCTGGGCAGGCGATGGAGCCTCTCAGGGGTGCACTGTCCTTGGCCTCAGGCGCCCTCCTCACTCCGGGTCTCCCTTGATGACGAAGGTCCTGTTCTGGCTGAAGCACCTGCTGGAGCCACTTCACAGTCGCTTTCTGTTCATTTCATTTCAAATAAATGAAAAGTCAGCCAGCTACGATCAGCTACAACATTCCATTCTTTTTCATCTTTTTTTTTTTTTTTTTTTTTTTTTTTTTTTTTTGGTTTTTTTTTTTTTTTTTTTTTTTTTTTTTGCTAAGGGATTCTTGATTTTTATCACTAGTGCTTTTCCTGCCTCAGCCAAGTAGCAGTACATGAGAACAGGTTTTGGGGTACCAGTTAGGGGAGATGCAGCCGCAATGGAGACACAGCTCTGAGTGCCCATGTTAGGGCCCAAGGGTTCTGCCGTGGACGCCTGCAGACACTCGTGGCAGTGGCCTGGTGACCGCAGTTGAATTCACACTCAGCACATCAGCTCTGATGGCAGGTGAACGGCGTTTCAGTCCTGCAACTCCAGAAAAATCCATTCATTGGTTCCCCAAATGCTTGCTGAGTTTCTACTCTGTGCTGGGCCCTGAATAGAGAGCAATGAACAAGACAGACATTAGACCCAACGCTGTACGGCCTGTATACGATGTTAATCATACGATGATTAATTTACCTGGTGCTGTTAAAACAAAACAAACAAACAAACAAAATGAAAGAAACCTGTCCGGAGAGTGATTTGAACTGGCAGAGATAGGAAAGCTTCCTAAGGAAGGCCAGACTAAGCACAGAGGGAGAGCAGCTGTTCAGGCAAGGCAGCTGCTACATCAAAGGCCCCGAGGCCTGAAGCAGGCCAGGGACTCTGGAGCCAGGAGCACAAGAGGAGCTGGAGGCGGAGATCCAAGTGTTAACGCCTGGGGGCCACGCTAACACTTCCCATCTTCACCCCAGGTCTGTCAAGAGTCTTCAGGCAAAGGCAAGTCACGGTCGGATCCACCTTTGCAAAGATCAGTCTGACTTCTTCAGGGAGTCTGAACCTGATGGAGGCACAAGTGAGAGGGAGGCTGTGGCTCTGCGGCAGAGCTGGGAGCAGGGCCAACAGTTCAGCAGCTACTCAGAGGGGATGCCGGGCTGGACCTGGGGCTGGCAGGCTCAGAGACAGCTCCTGCTGCCTGGCTCAGACTGCATTCTTCCGGTGAAGACAGAGCTTGTGGACATAACGGGGCTGTTAACCTCTCAGGAGCTGCATCCTGTGGGGAGGGGTCAGATCCCCAACTGCAGAGGGAGGGAGCGCAGTGGCTGGCAACAAGGGGTGGCACAGACATCCGCTCTGATCGCACTGTGCCCTTCGCTCCCGCGCCCCTCCCAGGTTGTCATTTTATGTACACTTCTGTGACCTTCGAATGCCGTTCGCTTCCTCACTTGATTTTAAGCTCACGGAATAAAACTTGCTCAGCACTGTACCCCAGCAGTGTGCACTGTGACCAAACGAAGCATCTGGACATAAGGACACAAGCCACGCGATCCTCCCAGACGAGCACTCGCTCCTGTCACAGCGTGTCTAGGACAGGCGCTCGACACAGCCTGCTCTTCACCTGCTGTTGATATAAGGTTCTTCGGTTCCCTGCTAGGTAGCAAATCAAACTCACGGCAGGCCCAACCTCCATGAGGCAGGAAGTTCCTGGAAACACATAGGTGTTGCCTAGCAACTCTCTCTCTCTCTCTCTCTTCCCCCCCCCTCTGGTGCTGGAGGCAGGCCCTAGGCTTACGTGATGTCTCCCTCCTCCCTGCTGTCCAGTCCTCCAATACTGCTTCTCACAAGAACCTGTGTTTTCAAACCATCCAGACTGAAAAACAGCCATTTCTGAAATATGGCCAGGGAAACAGATTTGAAGATCGAGGAGAAACAAAATTCACATTGCCACCGCTTCCCTTGGGAACCTTATGTAAGTGCCTCTCTCCCAATAAAACCACTGATTAGGGTGTTTTCTTTTCTCGGTTCACTCCTATAGTTACAACCCTGTAGGTGTTCATGTGGCATTCAATGTAATGCCTATTATATCTTACGTCTTATGCGATGTTTGAACACTTCAAGGTCTGGGACCAGCTCCTAGCAAGACATACTTGGCTATACCAGTGGTTCACCACTCCGGTTGCCTATCTTTGAGCAGCAGTAACATCTCTAAGGAAGGGAGGGGCAGGAGGAGCACACACGGAGCAGCCCCTCCCAGGCAGCAGAGCCCAGCTCAGAGAGGGTGAGCACACGTGCAGCAGCCAGGAACTCCCCTTGGCTCCTGAGTGCACACAGTGAATTTTACCTCGCCAAGCCAAGGGTGGCCATCAGCTCTCCAGGGTTTCCCTATGAATGCTGACTCTGGCCCGTGGTAACACATTTTGCTTGGGTACATACTAAGGAGAACCGCTAGTCATGTAATAAATTTGTTTAACTTATGAAGAAGCTGCCAGTCTTTTCAGAGTGGCTGTACCATCTTGTTTTCATAAGCAAT